AATTTAAATTTTTAAAAAAATTTTTATTTATTTTTTATTTTTGGCTGTGTTGGGTCTTCGTTTCTGTGCGTGGGCTTTCTCTAGTTGCGGCGAGCGGGGGCCACTCTTCATTGCGGTGCGCGGGCCTCTCACTGTCGCGGCCTCTCTTGTTGTGGAGCACAAGCTCCAGACGGCGCAGGCTCAGTAGTTGTGACTCACGAGCCTAGTTGCTCCGCGGCATGTGGGATCTTCCCAGACCAGGGCTTGAACCCGTGTCCCCTGCATTGTCAGGCAGATTCTCAGCCACTGCGCCGCCAGGGAAGCCCATAAATTTAAATTTGATATTACTTTTGCCTAACTTTATCATACATACTCCAGTTCCATCAGTTGGCACGATTATTTTTTACAAAGCTTGTCCCTTCACTACATATCCAGGTGAGGTCAGGTATTGAATATGTGGTCAAATCTCTGCAGGCTTCTTTCATATGGAACATTTCTATAGCCTTTCTTTGTCTTTTATGAAGATGACATTTTTGAAGAATACAGATAGCTTTTAGTAGAATGTTCTTTATTTTGGATTTATCTGATCTACCTGATGTTTCCCTGTTTCATTTCAGATAATGCATTCTTATAGGTGATGTGTCCTTCTCAGGGCATCACTTCTGGAAGAACATGATGTTTATCTGCCCCCACTGACAATATTAACTTAAGACCCCTAGCCAAGACTCTCCTGTGTAATTACTGTTTTACCCCTTGCGGTCTGTGGGAGAATATTTTAAGACCATGCATATATCCTGCTCCTTGTCAGAATTTCTCCCTAGATTTAGAATCCATTGATAATTCTCCCCTACCTTGATAGTTGCAGAATGCTGAGTTTTTTCTTGCAACTCTACTACTGCCTCCACATTTACCAACCGGCCCTGGCATTCTGCTGTCAGCAAGAGGCCTCCCTTTCTCCCCTGTTTGTGCCTGTATGTACTCATGAAATCCTATTTTCAGTGGCTTACAATTCTTTACATAATTATTATGGAGCCTAAATTTGATGTTGAAGCTGGGTCTTGTTTTGTTTTAAGCACCTCCTTATTTGCTGGTCTAACAGGATGTCTCAGCTCCTTTTGTACCTATCCTTCCCCCAGCCTGGAATCCTCCTGCTTCCTTTTAGGTTATGGTAGTAGAGACACAGAACAAGGTGCTAGATGTGTGCTCGTTAACTCAGGTATTTTTGCTCCTTAGCTGTCAGCAGACAGAGCTAGAGAATATATATACATTTACACATGTATACATACAAATTTAAATACATGTGAATATACATTTATATGATGTGCACATTTATATATAATTTAGAAATCATGAGTTCACACCAGTACCTCCAATTTGTCCACAAAGGGTTCTTTCTTATCTTCCCCTGTTCCATATTTTTATATTCCTTCTTCCTCCAGGAGGGCCCTGGCTCTCAACTAAATCAACACATTTACTCAGTCTCATAATAGATCTAAAATTGTTTCTGAATTGTTTTGCCCATTCCACTACAGAAAGCAAACCTGCTAAAAAGGATTGTTTGCAGCTCTTCCCCACTTCCCCCTCCAGCCTTCCCAAGACTGAGAGTATATAGTATAGTCACATACTATGTACCCAAGTGACATGGGTTAGTTCTTTCTTTTTTGTTTCCTTCTTGTTATGGTATTCATGTGAAACACAAATGAGTTAATTTGTTTCTGTTCACTTTCTGGTTTCACTTTCCCGTTGTCCAGTTTTCTCACTGATTTAATTTTATTCTTTGAGTCTGCAGAACATGATCATGCTTCCATGAGTAAAGACTATACAAAAAGCTGTACTCTGAGCATCTCTCTCCCCTCTCCCTTCTGTTCTGTTCCCCCGCCCTACCCCTTATAGGTAACAGGCTTCACTGTTCTGTGGATTCTCTCATTACTGAAAAGATAAGCAGCTGTATGCTTGGTTTTTTTATTTTGTTACGTAGACTGTAGCATATATGCTTTTCTTCACTTTACAACCTATCATGGAAATTGCTTCCTATCAATTTATAGAAATGTTCCTCATTCTTTTTTAGTTTTCCAGTGTGTGTATGTGCTGTTGTAGTTTATTTAACCAGTCTTCTGTGCTTGGACGTGTAGGTAGTTTTCCAAATTTTGTAATTAAAAATAAGGCTACGATGAATAACTTTGTGCATATATACTTTTGTATTGTTGGAAGTGTATCTTTGGTTTGAATTCCTAGGTGGGATTTCTCATTTAGAGAATAATGCATACATAGTTGTGTAGATATTGGCAGATTTCCTTCAACAGGGGTTATGCCAGTTTGCATTCCCAGTAATGGATGAGAATGCCTGTTTCCCCACAGCCTCACCCACAGAGCATATTGTTAAGTTTTTGAATATTTGCCAATCTGATAGATGAGAAAGGGGATCTTTGTATAGTTCTTATTTGCATTTCTCTTATTACAAGTGAAATTGAAAACATGTTTAAGGGCCATTTTAGTTTTTCTTTTTGTGAATTGTCTTCATGTCTTTTGCCCATTTTTCTGTAGGATTTTTAGACTCTTTTTCTTCAACTTTTAAAAATTCTTAGTATATTAGAGATATTATCACTTATATAAGCACTTATATATGATGTATGTTGCAAATATTTTCTTCCACCTTGTTATTTATTTGTTGATTTTGCTTATGGTATTTTTGCCATGCAATTTTACTTTTATTTCTATATAGTCCAGTTTATTAATCCTTTCATTTATTGCATCTGGGTCATAGAAAACTTTCTCTATACTTAGGTTATGGAGGCATTCACTTATGTTTTCTTCTAGCATTTGTATAGTGTTTTTAATATTTAGAGATCTGCTACATCTGGAGTTTATTCCTGTGAATGGTGTAAAGGATAGATCTAATTTTATTTTTTTCCAAATGGCTTTATACTTGTTCCAACACTATTAAAAAGGCCTTTTTTGCCTCAATAATTTGATATACCATCTTTATCATATACTTGATTTCTTTGTGTAATTGGGATTATTCTGAATTTTTATTCTATTCTGTTTATTTATATACCAATACCACACTGTTTTAGTTATAGCAGCCTTTTGGCATATTTAGATATCTAGTATGGTTAGTTCTCCTCCCTTGTAGCTCTTCCTTTTCTTTTTTCCCCCTGACAAATTTTGTGGGTTTCCCTGGCAGTTTTAAGGGATTAGTTTTATGGCTGTAGAAACGTGAACATCTTTGTCTTCTCAGGGCTGAGGGTGAGCAGAGGTGGAGGGGCCAAGGCCAAAGGGAATGGATGGAGCAGGGTCTCTGATGTGATGGGAGCAGGATTCAGATGAACAGTGTGTTGCTGTTGATGGTCTGGAATTCCACTCCCCACCCAGTAGCACTCACATTTTAAATGGCAAGGACTGCTCTGCCCAAGGAAGTAAAGAAAGGGAGCAAGGAACTAGGTCATGCCAGCATTTCTCAGTGACTTCTAATGATCTCTTACCTAATATTACTTAATAGTCATTTTGTGAAGCTTTCTCAGATGAACCACCTTTTTAAAATGTCTACTGAGTGATTCTTTGTTTTATCTTCCTAGTGATATTCTGGGTTCCTAGCTCCTCCTGTTCTGTAAATTTTAATTCAGAGTCCATCATTCCAATCCCATAAGCATAAGTTCGATCATGAGTGTGATTCTTTATATGTGTCTACTCCAGAGTATATATCTTATTTTTAGTGCCCTTGCTTTCTCGTCACATGTTCACATATAGTTTTTAAGTAGAACTACAGAGTACCAACCAAGAGGGTCTGATACCCAGGGTAAGAGGGGAAGTCTGAATTTTAACTAAGTCTAATCACAAATGTCTAAATGTCTAAGGTTGGGGAACAACTAGTTTAGAACTGTTTCTTTTGTTCTCAAGAGTCAGTCTTTTAGCAGGTGGATGCTGATGGAGTGCCAGCTGTGTGTAGAGTGCCTTCAGGGGAACAGAGAGTCACTGCCTGGGCCCTAGAATCTGCTTTGAGAAGGGGTTTACCTTTCCTGAGTCCTGTGGTTTATCCTCAGGTTGTAGCCCTGATCCAGTAACCTGACCTTGATTAAATAATAAAGTAGATGGTATAGCATATAGAACTACCCAAGTGACTGGCATTGTTCTCCATATCTTATATATGTTATTAAATGTAATACTCACAACAGTTCTGTTCCCCTCATTTTACAGATGAGGAAACTGTGGCATAAAGAGGTTAAATAACTTTCTTGAGGTCATACAGCTAGATATTTGAACCTAGGCAAATATTATTATCCTTTGCTTGATGGTTTGTGTTTTAGCTTCTGATCTTTGATATGCTCTGACTGCAGTTAGCCTGTTCATAAAGTAGGAGTGAAAGCCTCTGCCTGGCAAGCCAGAGTGTGTTCTTCCGTATAGAGTTCCTCCCTGACTAACAGCTCTCCAGGGTCAGTGTTTTCCTTGGAAGGGAAATCTAGGAGGGCCACACCAACGACAGGCAGCAGCAGCTTGTTTTCTTTCTCAAGTCTGATGTGACTGTCCTCATGATTTCATAACCAATTCCCCAATACCTCTACTTATGTACTGATCTCTCCTTTAGTTTTGCTTCCCTGCCCTCTGCTGATTATGTCTTCTTAGCTTTTGTTTTATTATTCTTTCAGTCTCCTATTTTTCAGAAATTACTTCTACCCACTGTTTGTTTTTCCAAGACTAGGTGGCATTTTTCAGAAATTGATCAATGTTGCCTTTGGTTCTGTGCGTCATTCCAACCCGTTTCAACTTGCCCTCATGCTAAGCTGTTATGCAAGAATAGAAAAGCTCTCTGTTCCATTGACAATGCTAGGGCTCTAGCATTTTAGCATTAGCTCCACAGGGACAGAAATTTTGGCATGTCCACCACTGTATCCCCAGCAGTTAAAAATGGTACCTATCACACAGCATGTAGTCAATAAACATTTGTTGAGTGAATGAGTGAATTTGGGTGTAATTCCTTCAGTTTCTTCTAAAGTGAAGGTATCATTTTCATTTTCTTGGTTTAGTGTCACATTTGAAGACGAGGGGCACTGAGGATGAGGAATCAACTGAAAAGTGTGAAAATATTGGAAATGCAGAATCTGTGTGGCCAAAAGTGGAAGGTCTTCACAAGGATCATATGCAGGAATCTAAGGTTGGTGAAACTTGTGATTGGGATAGCAAGGTAGAGAATCAGATGGAAAAGCCTGAGGGAAAAAGAATGAAGGAAGACAAAAGTGGCATCAGGGAAAAGATTGGCAAAACCAAGAATACAGCAAATATAAAGACAGAACAGGAAGATGAGGCATCTGAGAAAAGCTTACATCTGAGCTCAAAACATGTTACACACCAACCTGTCTGTATAGAACAGAAAAGCAGTGAGCAAGGCAAATGTGTGGAGAGCATTAATGGAAACTCTCATCCCATTCTACAGCAGAAAACCAGTGCTGTTAAGAAATCACATAAATGTGATGACTGTGGGAAATCCTTCAAATATAATTCCCGACTTGTTCAACATAAAATTATGCACACTGGTGAAAAACGCTATGAGTGTGATGACTGTGGGGGGACTTTCCGGAGCAGCTCAAGCCTTCGAGTCCACAAGCGGATCCATACTGGGGAGAAGCCGTACAAGTGTGAGGAATGTGGGAAAGCCTACATGTCCTACTCCAGCCTTATAAACCACAAAAGCACCCATTCTGGGGAAAAGAACTGTAAGTGTGATGAGTGTGGAAAATCCTTCAATTATAGCTCTGTTTTGGACCAGCATAAAAGGATCCACACTGGGGAGAAGCCCTATGAATGTGGTGAGTGTGGGAAGGCCTTCAGGAACAGCTCTGGTCTCAGAGTCCACAAAAGGATCCACACAGGTGAGAAGCCCTATGAATGTGACATCTGTGGGAAAACCTTCAGTAATAGCTCTGGCCTTAGAGTCCACAAAAGGATTCACACAGGGGAGAAGCCCTATGAATGTGATGAGTGTGGGAAGGCCTTCATTACTTGCAGAACACTTCTAAATCATAAAAGCATCCACTTTGGAGATAAACCTTATAAATGTGATGAGTGTGAGAAATCGTTTAATTATAGCTCTCTCCTCATTCAGCATAAAGTCATCCACACTGGAGAGAAACCTTATGAATGTGACGAATGTGGAAAGGCCTTCAGGAACAGCTCAGGCCTTATAGTGCATAAAAGGATCCACACAGGAGAGAAACCTTACAAATGTGATGTCTGTGGCAAAGCATTCAGCTATAGCTCAGGCCTTGCAGTCCATAAAAGCATTCACCCTGGGAAGAAAGCCCATGAATGTAAGGAGTGTGGAAAATCATTCAGTTATAACTCACTTCTTCTTCAGCATAAAACGATTCACACTGGAGAGAGACCTTATGTATGTGATGTGTGTGGAAAAACTTTCAGAAACAATTCAGGACTCAAAGTCCACAGGCGGCTTCATACTGGGGAAAAACCATATAAGTGTGATGTGTGTGGAAAAGCCTATATCTCACGCTCTAGCCTTAAAAACCACAAAGGAATCCACCTTGGGGAGAAGCCCTATAAATGTAGTTATTGTGAGAAATCCTTCAATTACAGCTCTGCCCTTGAACAGCATAAAAGGATTCATACAAGGGAGAAACCCTTTGGGTGTGATGAGTGTGGAAAAGCCTTCAGAAATAATTCAGGCCTTAAAGTACATAAACGAATCCACACTGGGGAGAGACCTTACAAATGTGAAGAATGTGGGAAAGCCTACATTTCACTCTCAAGCCTTATAAATCATAAAAGTGTACACCCTGGGGAAAAGCCCTATAAGTGTGATGAGTGTGAAAAAGCCTTCATCACATACCGAACCCTTATAAATCACAAAAAAATTCATCTTGGGGAGAAGCCCTACAAATGCGATGTGTGTGAGAAATCTTTTAATTACACCTCACTCCTTTCTCAACACAGAAGGGTCCACACTAGAGAGAAACCTTATGAATGTGACAGGTGTGAGAAGGTCTTCAGAAACAACTCAAGCCTTAAAGTGCATAAAAGAATCCATACTGGTGAGAAGCCCTATGAATGTGACGTGTGTGGAAAAGCATACATCTCACACTCAAGCCTTATTAACCATAAAAGTACCCACCCTGGCAAGACACCCTACACATGTGATGAATGTGGAAAAGCTTTTTTCTCAAGCAGAACGCTTATAAGCCATAAAAGAGTCCATCTTGGGGAGAAACCCTTCAAATGTGTTGAGTGTGGGAAATCTTTTAGTTACAGCTCTCTCCTTTCTCAACACAAAAGGATCCATACAGGGGAAAAACCCTATGTGTGCGATAGGTGTGGGAAGGCATTCAGGAACAGCTCAGGCCTCACAGTGCATAGAAGGATCCACACAGGTGAGAAACCCTATAGATGCGATGAGTGTGGGAAGGCATACATCTCACACTCAAGTCTTATCAACCATAAAGGTGTCCACAGTGGGCAGCAGCCGTATAATTGTGAGTGTGGGAAATCCTTCAATTACAGATCAGTCCTTGACCAACACAAAAGGATCCACACTGGAAAGAAGCCATACCAATGTAGCGAGTGTGGGAAGGCTTTCAATATCAGATCGAATCTCACCAAGCATAAAAGAACCCATATTGGGGAGGAATCTTTAAATGTAACAAATATGGGAAGTCATAGTAGCGCATCACAGAAGAGAACTCACGAGGGAGGGAATGCTCTGGATGGGACCAGGATGAGCATGTCTCTGTAGGAGGCAGAGCTTATCTAGTATTAGAGAACCCAAATGGAAGAAAAATCTTACAAGAGTGTCTGAGGTCCTTGTTCATGGCTTATAGTTTACATAGTATAAGTGAAAACATGAGTAATTTTTTTCTCTGTGATTTTCAATCGTAGCCAGCAAGGAAGGTTCCAGTGTCAAAATAGTCGAGCCCTTATGGAATATAAAATAGTTCGTACTGGGGATAAAACCTATCAAAGTTATGGAGTGTGAGAAAACCTTCAAAATAAGTAGATATTTCTGGACATAAAAAACACAGATGAGAAAAAGACTTCAATTAGAAGTCTCATAGTCACCATCAGAAAGTTCATATTTGGGTAAATTATGTGAATAGAAATGTAGGAAATTCAGGTATAGCTTTGAATTCCAATTATCCATTGGTCAGTGGAAAAGATCCAAGAAGGACCTCCAGTAGGCAAATTCAGGGAGAGGCAGGCTTCAGGGAATATAAATTAATATCATGGTGGTCATGAAGAATAACTTTGATTTAACTGATTTTCGGGGAGTGATGACAACTTCTGAAACAAAATTTGGATTTCATTGTAGGAAATGTAAAAAGTGTAGACGTATAAATCTAACAGGAGATAGAAGAGAGTCACTCAAATAAATTCAAGTTGATTGGACTGTTGTAATGTTGTGCTATACATTATTGAATGGGTGAAACGTTAAAATTTTTCAAATGAACCCTCTCAATGAATGATGAATGTGTGATAAGTGAAAACCTCACACATTATGCTACAAATGAAGAGTTCTGCCATGGACAGAAATTCAGCACATTCAATAACTAATGGAACACATCTTCAACATGAATTTGTACCTTACACAAAAAGAATTGATTCAGGGATTCCTATGGATAGGAATGATGAGAAGGAGAGCATTTTATTGCAAGAGCTAAAAAGCTAAGTAGCTACCAGTAATGGAGGAATAGGAGAAAATTCATGCTTCTTAACAATCCTGTTAAATGTTTGATTGTGTTACTGTAAAGATTTCATGCACTGCGTGTGTGTATTGTCTGTTGTAAAATGTTGTGGATACTTTATTCAGGGCTCACTCTCGGCCATGAAGAGCCAGATAGTTGTGGCAAGGTAAGGTGAAACTCCAATAAAGGAATTCTTCAAAAGTAAACAGGCTGTTACATACTTTAGGTGGAGTATCATACAGAGAGAGCCATTTGTGTGTCTTATCTTTGGGGGGTAAGTTATACCAGATCCAAACCAAGGAGTGCCCAGGGGACTCATCTCACAGGGCTAGTAGCTCACATTTCATGAGAAATTAGGTTGTGCCTCCACCAGGAGAAGTGCAGATTGGATTAATCCTCATACTAGGGCTGGATCATAACCCCTGGGAGTGGACAGGCTGTGTGAGTGAGGAGTCACAACAGAGAAACAGTTCTCTTGGGAACAGATAGAATTTAACAAAATATTGTTAACTATGTGTAAGACTGTTAACTAGGTAACCCGAAGAGTGAAAAGCAAGTCTTCTGAGAATTAAGTAACCTGTCTGAGAATACTCCAGGTGGGGCTTATCAGTAGAGACGGAGTTGTAAGTCAGGTCTCTCTGGCTCCCAGATCCACTCTTTACAAGAGAATAGTCTCTGGACAGATAGTTTTCTGATTCTCTCTAGGATTCCTGTTTCCATACATACAGTTTCCATACCTCTCTTTAGAAGTATTTCTTTCACTTTGCCTCCAAACAAGGTAAGTTTTGAGGGAGGAGGGTGGAGGTCGGGGAGGGATGGTTGTAGAAAAGGGAGAGGGAAAGAGCATTTCTGCCACTCCATTCCACTTTGAGATGTCATGACCACACTTGCTCTTTGTCCTTCTCTACATGCAGCACTGGCAAACCTGACCCTATCCACAGACTTGGATTAGTGTATTCAGCAAATACTTGTTGAGGATCTGCTAGGCGCATCCATTGTCCTAGGTACTAGGAAGCAGGAGTAGATAGAAGAGAGAGACCACAGCAAAGCCACCCTAATGGATGCTGAACTAAACTGTGGGCTTTCCAAGGAAAGTGACTTCCACCTACTGGGAAGGGGGGCACCGATGACATCTGAGCAGGATGTTGAGTTGGGTCCTTTTAAGAGAAGAATGGGAAAAATAGGATGGCCTGATCAAAGGGAGCATTGGAAATGCTCATGCATTGTCCAGAGTGGCCAGTCCCTGGCAGTTCTGGTGTACAGTGGGCAGAAAGGAAAGAGGCCATGGAGTATTGATTCCCAGTGGTCACTGAGCATCGACCAATCTTTTCATTGGCTGAATATAGGGCCAGCTCTCTTTTAGATGATCAGGTTACTTAAGGTTTCCACGTGGCCAGGGCTGTTGGTGTGCCTGTGGCTTGAAGTCCCCAGTCCCCTCACACACACACATCTACATGAGCTCCACCTGGACCTAATGCATCACCTACTTTTGAAAGAGACACAGGTTAAATAACAAGGGAGAAGATAGCTACCATAGGAATGGGGATTCTGAGTGCCCCAGCCCACTGAGCACCTCCTGGTGCTCATGTTCCTACTACAGCCTCCATTGACTTGGACACATGGAAAATGGGCCCACAGTCTACCTAGGGCCAGATATGTGCTTCTCGGACTGATCCCAGATGAGGAGGGGTCTTCAGGTCTCCAGCCACTCTAGGCAGACTGTGAAGAACAGATCCAGTGAGCTGGTGCAGCTGCATCTGTTCAAGCCCACCGCAGGACCTGAGCTGGTTTAGGGACCACCAGCCACCACCACCTCCCAGAGGACGTCTGACATGCAAGAAAAATAAAATTGCCAAGGTGTAGGTAAATTGAAACACTGTGTGTTTTAAAATGCCATGTCTAATTCTCAAGGCTAAAAGATAAATAGAATTGGAATATTGGACAATAGTAGGTAAATTGGAAGCTGGGACATCTGTGTGAAAGCAGGCTAAAGTGCTTGTATTATTTAGGAGGAGGGTGAAGATGCTGTTTAACTCTAGATTTTATTGAGTTAAATATGGTAAAATGTCATGGGCAAGCACTAGAAGGATAGAAATAAAGTATATAAATCTAAAAATCTGGACTGGAAAATCTCAAAGTCTAGAAAAGAAAAAATGATGTTGAAAAGGTGAGACAGTACTTTGTTTCTGGTGAAGGTAGTCTAGGTTCTTTGGATCAGTTTCCCACCTGTTTTTTAAAATGCAGGTGGTGTGCCCTCCCTTCCCCTTAAAAGAGCGTGGAGGCTGAAAAGACTGCAGTTTAAACAGGTAGGGCTGTTTTAAAATGGGATCTCGTCATCAGAGGTGAACACCAAAGCAGCTTAGGCTGCAGACTTTGCTGATGATGCAGTTAGGCACCACTTCACCAGCCACAGAGAGTGAGAGAGAAGGATGATAGGGCCAGGTTCACCCAAGGTGATGAATCTTATAGGTGACTCTTCTGAAGTTAAACTGGGTTCCCAGAGTACTACACCGTCAGGACAAAAAAACCAAATCTAGACCCATCCCCCTCCCCACCTCCAGGGTACTTTAGAGACTGACCTCATTACCAAGCATAGCAATAGGATTGAAGAAAAAGAGAAAAGAGAACATCCTGACAATTTGTGGTCCCTGACCAACCCTTACAACCCAGGTAAACACAACTTGAGGCCTGGCAGAAGCAAATAAAACTTCCTCAGAAGAGCACTCCTTCAATTTAGACCTCAGGTAACAATTTTTCAGGGGAAATAGTCAGCAAGCAGTCAAAGATAATCAGGCATATAAGGAAAAAAGGCAGCACGACTGGAAACCAGCAGAAAAACAGACCCACATAGATGTCACATTAGAATTATTGGGTGCGTTTGTGAAAACAACCGCTTAAAATATTTAAAGATGTATTTGGCAACAGATTGTGAAACAGGAGGAATGAGAATTGGTGAGCTGAAAGATAGGTTTGAAGTAGTTATCCAGAAGGCAGAATGGAGATGGAGAAATATGGGAAAACACAGAAAGATGGGATGGTCTCACTAGGAAGTTTTAACATATATTTAACCACAGTCTTAGAAGGCAAAGACAGAAGAAAAGGAACAAAGGTAATTGGGCTGAGAATATTCCAGAACTGATGAAAAATAACAGGTCTATAGATTTAAAAGCTCAAAGAATACAAATTAGGATAAATTTACAAAGTCATATCTATGTGCATCATAGTGCAGGAAATCAAAAAAAAATTAACAGCCAAACATTTAAAAATTACCTTCAAAGGAACAGACTTCTCAACAGCAACAATGGAAGCCAAATGAGTGGAATGAAAATGTCAGTATAAAGGTAGAAAATAACTGTCAACCTAGAATTTTATACCTGATGAAGATATCTGTTATGAATGAGGACAAAATAAGCACATTTTAAGACAATTTGTTTCATTCATTCCCTGCTGACCCCCACTAAAGGAAATTTTAAAGAATTCACTTTAATATAGAAGGAAAGTGATCCCAGGTGGGGTTTTGAGATGCAAAAAAGAAAGAACAAAATAGGTGAGCAAATGTAATAACATTTTATACCAAACAATAAAAATGTAGAGTTGTTAAGATAGGCTTAAAATACCAGACAAGACTGATAAATAAGAGAGAGTAAAAAGGATTGAGGTATTAGGGTGAAGTTTTAGGTTACTCTCGTGAATATTGTAAAATCTAGAGGAATCATAAAAATACAACATATAATTTCAATACTAGTAGAAAATTTTAAGCAAAAAGGTAAATTTAAAAAGAGGGGTGATACTACTGGGCATATACCCTGAGAAAACCATAATTCAAAAAGAGTCATGTACCAAAATGTTCACTGCAGCTCTATTTACAAGAGCCAGGACGTGGAAGCAAGTTAAGTGTCCATCATCGGATGAATGGATAAAGAAGATGTGGCACATATATACAATGGAATATTACTCAGCCATAAGACGAAACGAAATTGAGATATTTGTAGTGAGATGGATGGACCTAGAGTCTGTCATACAGAGTGAAGTAAGTCAGAAAGAGAAAAACAAATACCCTATGCTCACACATATATATGGAATCTAAGGGGAAAAAAAGTCATGAAGAACCTAGGGGTAAGACGAGAATAAAGACATGGACCTACTAGAGAATGGACTTGAGGATATGGGGAGGGGGAAGGGTAAGCCGTGACAAAGTGAGAGAGTGGCATGGACATATATACACTACCAGACGTAAAATAGCTAGTGGGAGGCAGCCGCATAGCACGGGGAGATCAGCTCGGTGGTTTGTGACCACCTAGAGGGGTGGGATAGGGAGGGTGGGAGGGAGGGAGACACAAGAGGGAAGAGATATGGGAACATATGTATATGTATAACTGGTTCACTTTGTTATAAAGCAGAAACTAACACACCATTGTAAAGCAATTATACTCCAATAAAGATGTTAAAAAAAAAAGGGTGAGACCAAAAAAAGATGGTAAATCTTCCCCCCAAATACCAATATTTAATTTAATTTCACTAAGTGACAAAGATTGTCAGACAGTGTCTCTTAGGGCTGCTATAACAAAGTACCACAGACTGCATGGCTTTTAAACCACAAAAATATTAATTCTCAGGTTTAGGAGGCTGGAAGTCCAGAGTGATTAGAGATCAGCATTGTTGGGTGAAGGCTTTCTTCAGGGTTGCAGACTTCTTGTTGCATCCTCACATGGCAGAAGGGGCTGGGGAGTCATGTGGGGTCTCTTTTATAAGAACACTAGTCCCATGAGGGCCCCACCCTGATGACCTAATTACCTCCCAAAGGCCCCCACCTCCTAACACCATTACACTGTGTATTAGGATTCCAACCTGTGAATTTTGGGGAAACACAAACATATAGACCGTAGCACATAGGGCAAAAGTACAAAACCCCACTATGTTGCTGCTTACGAAAGACTCAAATATAAGGACACAAAGTCTGAAAGTAAAAGAATGGAAAGAAGTTATATGAAGCCAGTAGAAAACTGGTGTAGCTCTACTAATATTAGATGGAACAGGGACTTCAAGGCACAAACCATTCCTAGAGATAAAGGGAGGTGTTACATTAAGACAAAAGTTTCAGGGAAGAAAAAACACTGGGAAGATAGAACAGTTATAAGTTAGTATCTACCTAATAAATATGCAGAACTCAAAGGAGAAATATAAAATCTACACTCATGAT